GCCAAGACCCGCCTTACGTTGCTTCTGATTGGTTTATATTGCGTGGTGCCTTCCGTGGTTGGTTAGATTTAGGCACGAAGGACTGATGGATTGGTCTGGGATTGGTTATCTTAGTCAGTCAATCAGAGTTACTCGAACTACAGCAAGCCGCGAGGACCAAAGTTTATTATCATGGAAAAAAATAAATATAGAGTATTGAATGGGGAAATATAAGCGTGAGAAATGTCAAGTGTGGCGTGTGGTGTGAGAATGGGTCAAATTGCGTGACTGTCACACTCAAAGCGTGACGCTTGGCAGCTCTGGTGTCATGTGTGTGTTTAAGTGTGTGTTAAGATGCCTTTGCTTCACAGGCTAACGTTACGTAGCGTACAAGTGTTATTGGTACGCGACCTTCACCACTAACACCAAGGTCAACAATACAACCGTTATTTTTATTTCTATATGACTGTAACATATGTCATATTAAGTTAGGTGAAGTAACGTTAAACAGCAAATAACTTGGGTAACGTTACCAACGTTACTGTGTATGCTAGCATAAGCTAACGTTATTGTACACGAAATTAGCATTAGCTAACGTTAGCAAACTCAAGGTGAGTGGTGTTTAACGTTAACGTGTTTGCTGCTTGACGTTACGTTACTTAACATAACTTTATCAGTTACAGTTTTTAAGGAATTAAAAGGGGTTGTACTGTTTACCTTGGTGTTATTGGTGGAGGTCGTGTGGCTCACGCCTCGTTTCCACTTTACTCTGAGTACGTATGCGAGTTAACCGGAAGTCCATTCATTCCTATGAGAGCCTCCGTGATGTCTGATGTGTCGGCGAAACTCTTATTTTAACTAATGAGCGCTTGATATCAGATCCTGATGGTCGTTAATTACGTACACAGTTAGCAATTACCTTCCTTGATCAAGCTCAGGACCAGGAGGAGTCAGACGGAGACGGAGCTCTGCAGCCAGACCCTACTCGTAAGTACTTTCTTTTAAGCCTCCTTAGCATGTTTGCAGTCACATGTCATGCCTTATTCACATTAAATTCCCCACAATGCCCGTGTAATCTGTCTTTTGCAACTCTGAACACATTTTGTACACGGTGTTTTTGTCTGACAGGACCATTGAAAATCACCACAGCTCACACACCCACTTGAAGGAGCCTCCCCCTGTCCTGCTCCAGCCATTGGACTCCCCAGTAAATGATTAACCGCATCAATCTGAGGACTCCTTCCACAACATCCTCACATGGACGAACAGCAACAGATGGAAAGAACACCTAGGTCATTGTTCAAGTAGCGGGACCCTGTTTTTTTAATAGGTGCCCAGAGAAAACAACAGATTTACACAGTGTTGATGTCACAAACTGATTGATTTCCCTCTGAGTGTCCTGCAGCTCATAGTAACAACACAGATAAAATCAACTCCGGGCCAGACAAGTTGACCATTAACCTCCCCTACTGATTGCACGCACGTTTCTGCTTGTAGGCAGCCTATTCTGCAGGGGATCCTGTAGCAAAGTTCACTGTCACAGGCCGCAGACGTCTGTGAAACACCAGGAGCTTGCTCCCACCTCTGGATTTATCCTCTGTTCTTTCCACCTTCTGCCATTTTTATAGAATTTAATCCGCAGACATGGCTAAAGCAAGTTATGGATACTACCGAGCCACTATATTTTTGGCCATGTTCGTAGGCTACACACTGTACTACTTTAACAGAAAGACTTTCTCCTTCGTGATGCCTTCGCTCATGCAAGAAATTGAGCTGGATAAGGATGACTTGGGTATGACACTCTTGATTTTTTGCACATTTTATTAAAGATAAATCACAATTAATGCTGTTACCGTACATAGGTAGCATTTTGCATACTTTTTTAAACTTGAAAATTGTTGAAATACAAAGCTTGACGAATTATTTAACCCTGAAAATGTCTGCATCATAAGCATAACTGACTAACTCCCATACATGCTATGACATATTATACATGTCAGGAATATTTAGGTTCAGAAAAACCTTCCTAGAAGTTTCATCTGCTCCTCTTCTCTTGCCTCCCCTTTGATCAGGCATGATCACCAGCAGTCAGTCTTTGGCCTACGCTATCAGTAAGTTCATCAGTGGCGTGCTTTCGGACCAGATCAGTGCCCGCTGGCTCTTCTCCATTGGCCTGTGCATGGTGGGAGGCATCAACTTGGTCTTCTCCTGGTCCTCCACTGTTGCTGCCTTCTCCGTCCTGTGGTTTTTCAATGGCCTGGGCCAGGGCCTTGGCTGGCCTCCCTGCGGTAGGGTGCTGCGCAAGGTACCTGAGCCACAAGCCAGTATATCACATCACATTCATCACATGTTATAAAGAACAAATAGGCACCATATTACACCTGATAGTTAACTGAACTGGGTTCAGGTTTAGGTAGAAAGACAGTCCGAATCAGATGCATGTAACACACAAAAATAAGAAGTTAAATGTGTTATTTATTGGGAATTTAATGCTTAAAATATCAGACAATCTTCATCAGCACTGGGTGTGGTAAAACAACCCCTCCACTCTCAACCTATTTTTTAGAAATGTAAATAAATCCTGATTGGATTTTGCAGAAAATGGAGTGTTCATTTAGGACCCAGCTGCTCATAGTAAGAATGTAATGAAATAATACTTTGCTTTACCTCAATATTGTTTCACTGTTCCTCAGTAGATGTTTGCAATGCATGCAAGCTTAAGAGATGTAACCGGTGTTATAATGTATGTACAGCATGAGTGAAATGTTCCTCCTGTCTCTGTTTGACGTCACTGATTTGTGGCCTGTCACATCATCCAGTACTCCAGTTGTCAAATGACATTGTCATTTCATTCAGTTATTACCTGCTGTCAATTCAGAACGCTGCACCGGTTCAATTATTCCGTTGCTCCTGTACATCAAAGGCCAGATAATGACACTTCCTGTCTGCTCTGTCATGATTTCGTGTTATTATTTCCTCTCCTCCGCCGTCAGTGGTTTGAGCCCTCTCAGTTCGGGACATGGTGGGCCGTTCTCTCCTGCAGCATGAATCTGGCTGGCAGCTTGGGCCCCATTATTGCTACAGTGCTGACCCAGAGTTACAGTTGGAGGACGATACTGTCGGTATCTGGGATGATTTGTGTGGTGGCCTCCTTTTGCTGTCTGCTGCTCATCAAGAATGAGCCCAAGGAGGTGGGGCTGCCCAATATAGACACAGGAGCCAAGAAGAGCAAAGGAGGTGAGGCTGACTTTTACTGAATGATTTGTAATGAATCCTCAGTTTGATGACACTCACAGGTTTTTAGCCACTGCGTATACACACAGTATATTTGTTTAAACATGTGCAACACTCAGTTCACATATAGTTGTGCATGCTCCAGACGTGTGTGTGTGTGTGTGTGTGTGTGTGTGTGTGAAGCATGTGTCTCTCGTGTTGTGACTAAAGGTCACCAACATGGTGGACTCCGTACCCAGTGTGTCCTTCACATGTCATTTGTGTGGGCTGTGTCTAGCTCTTACAAAGGCAATGTCAGATAGAAGATATGTTTTATGCATTAATCTGATTAGAAGTAGAGATCCTTCCCATCCCCACCTCACAATAATAACACTCTGTCTTGTGACTGCTTCCTTTTCAGGAGCCTCCACTGATGAGAGCACCCTGTCGGAATTCCTGCTGTCACCCTATCTGTGGCTGCTTTCTGTGTCCTATCTGGTGGTGTTCGGGGTGAAGACAGTCTGCACAGACTGGGGCCAGCTGTTCCTCATTCAGGACAAGGGCCAGTCTGCACTTATGGGTATGGAAGAGTTGGTGGACACCTCCGATTTCTGTTAAGAAATAAGTTGAGAGTTCGCTTATAATTTCTTTTGAATCACTATGTTCTTCTTCATAGGTAGCTCATACATGAGTGCCCTGGAGGTTGGAGGCCTGTTGGGCAGTCTCGCTGCAGGTTACTTCTCTGACAAGGCGGTGGCCAAAGTGAGTTTATATCTGAATACATTCTAATACATTTTGTCATATGGCTTTGTCAGCGTGGGTTTTCTCCAGGTGCTCCAGCTTCCTCCCACAGTCCAAAGACATGCAGGTTAATTGATAACTCTAAATTGTCCATAGGTGTGAATGTGAGTGTGAATGGTTGTCTGTCTCTATGTGTCAGCCCTGTGATAGT